TCCTCGTCGGCGCCATCGTCGGCGCCCGTCGCGTCGCCAAGGTCCCCACGATCCGACTCGTCACGACCAAGCAGCCCCCCCAGCTGAGCATCGTGAGGGGCCTCACGTGGCACCTCTTCAACAGCCACATCTGGTGAGTCATGGAGGGAGAAGAGGGAGCGAAAACAGCCGGCGTGACCCCGCCCCTTGCCCAAACGAATAGGTCGACCGGTCAAGACGCCGTCAAGGTCATCAAGAATGAGCTTAAGCTCTTGATCCCTGGCATCAAGATCTTCCTCGATGTGGATGATTTGAAGGACATCGGGTTGCTGGAGGATTATGTTGACCGCACGCAGGTCATGCTCTTCTTCCTGTCAAAGGGCTACTTCCGCTCGAAGGCACTGCCCCAGCCCCCCTCCCTTTCCGAGAGTGCCTCGCTGTGTCGCCCACGACTACTCGTGCGCTCCTTGCCTGCAGAACTGCCTGCGCGAGATTCGGATGTCGCTCGAGAAGAGCAAGCCGCTCGTCCTCGTGCAAGAGGCGGACCCGGCCAAGGGCGGCGGGACGCTGCAGGCGCTCCCCGCCCGACCCCTGCTCGCTGCGGGGATTGCTCTCGCCACACACGGCTCTGAGGGGCGGTGTCGCCGCCGCCGCCGCACACCAGCACTCACTCACGCACACCGTCGCTGCACGACTGCAGGAGTTGCGAGCACAGTGCCCGGAGGGTCTCCAGCCGGAGATCTTTGACAGGGGGTGGGCGCAGACGACGTGGCACCGCATCGACGAGTATCAGCGTGTCTCGCTTAAGATCATCTCCGAGGTGCCGCCACGGACAACTCCCTGCAGCTGTTCTGCGGTCGCCTCGACCTTGACCGCCGCCCCCTCGCACCTACCCTCAGGCGCTCCTCCTCTGCTCGCCACACTACGTGAACCTGACCTCCCTCCCGCTCTTCATCCCGGGCGAGGTCCAGGGCCAACCGATCTCCTTCTCCAAGTCCGTCGTGCTCTGGGCCTCGCCGTTCGATGAGGGCGCAGAGGAGCTGGCCACCGAGCTCGCCACCAATTTCTCCGGTCTCACCGTCTCCACCGCCGAGGAGGCGGGCGACGCCACGCACATGCTTCTCTATCTGAACGCCGACACCTGGTCCGACGAGAGGCTGGCCGAGCAGGTCAAGCAGGCGCGCCAGGACAGGCTGAAGATCGTCATGGCGCACGAGAACGACGTGGACCTCGGCGGCTGTGAATTCGCCAAGTTTTTTGAGACCACGCCGCAGGAACGCTGCCGATCAGCGGTCCATCATTTATGCCACACCCGCGCGCTCCATGCCCCCCTTCCCCGCCGCCGTAGGAGCTCATCAACGGCGGGCTCTACGATGCCCTCGCCACTGCCTGCTTCCCCGGCCTGCACCATGAGGTGCGCTCCCCCGGCGGCACCTTTGCCACAGCGCCCGCGTGCTCCTGAAGCGACTATTTTGCCACTCCCGGTCTCACAGGTGTCGCTCGTGCTGCTGGCCAAGGCTCTGGGCGCAACCCCGGTGAGCGCTCGCTCGAGCATCCGCGACTCGCTTTCGAACATCGGGCGCTTCACTACCGTGCCTCGCGGCTCGACGACGTCCGACCCAGTCGTTACCGAGGAGGATTCGCAGCTGTAGCAGGTGCCAGAGGTGGAGCAGGTGTAGAGGTGACGAGCAACTTGCAGTTCGGCTCAAGCGGCAAGGGTTGGACGCGCTAACCACTTCCAAGAGTTGCGCTGCGTTGGCATGGGCGTTTTACTTATGTAACATGCTGAGGCTTCCTCGCCTCCGAGCCTATATACCGACCGTAACGACGAGCTAACGTTAGAGACGACTCTCTCTCTCATTCCCACTGTGTGAACAGTTGGGATCTGTTCCTGGATCCTGCGCAGCTAAATTCATAGAGCTGCGCGTGTTGTGTGTCCGCGCTATTGGCGCCGTTACGAGAGCGGAGAGGGGGCGGTGCGTGTCGCACTCCGACCTTCGCGTATCGTAGTTGTACTTTTGTAATTTAGTAAATCGGCCTAGCGAGGGTGTGTGTATGTATGTGCACGCCGATACCAACTCTTTTCACTCCAACGAGTCTCGTGTCCACACACACCAGAGTGCAGAGAGGTGGGCGGGGCCTCTACTCGCCAGGGATCTATGCACACACACCACGCGAAAAGAAAAAAATCGACCACAATTTACGCTACGTTGTTCCAGTCCAGCGCGTGTCTGTCTGCGGGCCTACGACACGAGCAGCTTGCAGCGGCGCTCGCCACCCTGGCGATTGTGCTGGACGGCGGACGGTGTGGTTGCTCAGATGGCCTTATGACGACCCCATTTCGACATCGTCCCTATAAGGCCTCTGCTCATGAGCTCCATGCGGGAATGACTGGCTCAACAGAGCCATTTGCGTGCGAGCCCGTGCCCCGTCCCGCCACCTGCCCGCCCCGCCCCGGAGCGCGACAAAATGTGAAGGGTGGGCCACTTGTGTTGAGGGATGGCAACCCATGTGCGATGTGGGTGTCTATGTGTTTCTTTCGCGAGCTAACCTCCGCTTTCGGGTGGAGGCGCACGCGCTGCTGACGGCGCTCGCCGGCGTTTGCGGCGCTATGGCGCTCGCGGCGCGCTCGTGGCGTTCAGGGCGGCTCGCACAGCGCCCACACACGCACACACGCACGCACGCACGCACGCACGCACGCACGCACGCACGCACACACACACACACACACACACACACACACACACACACACACACACACACACGCCCAGACCCCAGAGAGCTCCATCGTCCTAACACCCCAGAAAGCCCGAGGAACCGTGCAGCGCGTAGATATATGTCTGTGTGCTGTCTGCTGTGTGGTGCACGCCCTTCCTGCGGCGAGGTCTTCACTAGGAAGAAAAACCTCGCAAACCCAGGCAACGCAGCCGGGGCCCAGCGCCACAGCCGTCAGCCGTCAGCTTGCGGCGCCGGCCAGCTTTCACTCACATGGCGCTCTCGGCAACGCTGTGGGCCCTGGCGCTCTCCACCAGAACGGCTCGCAGCCTCCGCACGGCGGCTCGCCCCTGCCTCCTCCGCGCGAACCCGGCTCCTCGGCTGGCGCTGCCGCTCGAGCTGCCCGACGGCGGACTCAGCCTCGAGCGGAAGCTGGGCGAGGGCTCCTTTGCGGAGGTCGTCGCCGGCGGCGGCGGCGCCGAGGCGGTGCTGAGCGGGCGCAGCGGCGCCCGCGTGACTCCGGCACGGGTGCGCGTCGGGCTCTTTTACGGGCAAGTGACGCGCGGCAACGCGGCGGGCGCGCGTGTGCTGGTCAAGGCGTACTCGCCGTACGGGCAGCCTCCGTGGGCCGAGGACGGGGAGCAGGCCGGGCCAGAGGGCGGCGCATCCCTCTCCGGCGAGGCGGCCGCTGCGCTCGGGCTCGCGGACGTCGCGTCCTCGCTCGAGGCGGCTCTGTCGTCTCCGACGGCGGCCAGGAGCGGCGCGAGTCTCGCCGAGGCGCTCGCGCTCAACGAGTACTCCGCGCACGCGCGGGTGCAGGCGGCGGCGGCGGCGGCCGGCAAGAGCGAGCGCGACGTCGAGCGGGAGGGGCTGACGCGGCTGATCGGGCGGCAGGTGGAGCGGGGCGACCGTGGCGAGCCGCTCGTGCTGCACGCCTTTCCGTGGGGCGGCGAGGGGGTGCGGCTCGCTCCGCCAACGCGCCTGCCGCCGACGCTCGGCAGCTGGCTGGTCTTGCGCGAGCGAGGCGGCACCGAGGCGCAGGCCAAGTGGGGCGGCGTCCCGCTGCGCGCGGCGCAGCAGCGAGGCCGGTTCGTGCGCGGGGCGCTGCGCGGCGCGCTGGCCGGCCTCGCCGCGCTGCACGCCGTCGGGCTGCTGCACCAGGGCCTCTCTCCCGCGGCCGTCCTCGTCTCGAGCGAGGACGACCGGGTCGGCGAGAAGGTGTCGTCCTCGCTGCAGGAGCTCGGCTACGCGCGCGATGCGCCCTCCCTCTACCCAGCCTTTTACGTCAACACCGAGGGCTCCGCCCTCTCCGCCGTTGGGGAGGCCGTCGAGAGCGGCGACCGAGGAGGCGCCGTCGAAGCTGACCCGCTAGACCTTGGGCTGGCGGAGCGAGCGCTGCGGCGGACCACCCGCCCCGGCGACCCGGAGGAGCGAGCGCGCTACGGCCGCGCCGACGACATGCGAGAGTTCGGCCTGCTCCTGCTGACTTGCTTCCTCCTCTCGAGCGCGCAGCCGGACGCGGGCTTCGACGCGCTGCGGCTCCGCACGCTGACGGACGGGCCCTTCGCCGCGAGCGACGACGACGGGATGAAGACGGACGGCGTCGACGTCGCCGCGCTGCGGTCTTTCCTCGCCGACGAGGAGGCGCTCAGGATAGGCGGCGTCGGCGGGGTCGAGATGCTCGACGCGGGCGGCGCGAGGCTGGGCGGCGAGTTTGTGACCCAGTCCTCCGGCTGGGGCCTCCTCTCGCGCCTCCTCGCGCCGGCGTGGGAGGACCGGCCGGACGCGGCGGAGGCGCTCTCCCACCCCTTTTGGACGGCGGCGATGTCACCGGAGCCGCCGCCCGCGCGGGACGCGGCACCGCCGGAGAAAGGCGACGACCGCGAGCAGAGGATCGCGGCGCTCGAGGAGGAGCTGCGGAGGCTCGCGGAGCGGAAGGGGGAGGAGGGCTAGAGAGTAGAGCGGGGAACGCTAGGCGCGCGCTGACAGAGCACACGTGCCGTTCTCCTGTCGGGGGTGAGGAACGGATTAAGATTAAGTAAGTAGGTCGGTTGACGGTTGGGGGCGAAAGCACTTGGTCTTGGAGCTGCAGCACTTGGAGTGCAGTCATCAGCCGCACGCCCACAGGGCCGGCCCGGGGAGCTAAGAAGCGCACGAGCCGGACCGCAAAATCTTTTTCCCCCGTGCCCACGGAAAGAACGCAGCTCGCCGGGGCCGTACCGGGGCCGTGAGCAAACCTTGCTCACCGTCGCCCCCGCGCGAAGCTAGGAAAAAAGAAAAAACCTCTGGCTGCCAGCAGAGCCGTGATGCAGCACCTCTGCTGGCTGGTCCTCGCCGCGTGCATCACGCCGCTGCACGCGCTCGCGCTGACGGCGGCCGGCGGCCAGCGGCTCGCCCTGCGGCCCAGCAGTCGCTCGCCGGCTCTAGCAATGGGAGCAGTCCGCCAGGTGACGACCGAGGAGTTTGAGGCGGAGCTGCAGGACTGCGCGACGCCCATCCTGCTGGACGTGTTTGCGGTGTGGTGCGGCCCGTGCCAGCTGATGGCGCCGGAGATGGACAAGGTTGCCGAGCATTACGGTGCGTTGTTCCACAGGGCCCTGGTAGTGCGGCGTCGGTTGGCTTGGTCGCTGGGCGGGCGGGCTTGCGTGACGTGCGCCTCGCCAGCGCAGGCGACCGCTGTCGCGTCCTCAAGATTGACGCGGACGACGAGGCCGAGGTGGCAGACACGCTGCAGGTGCGCGGTCTGCCCACGGTGCTGCTCATCAACGACATGTCGGTCGTGATGAGGGCAGAGGGCGCGCTCATGGCGGACGAGCTCAAGGAGATCGTGGACTTCCACTTCTTCGGTGCGCGCATGTACCGGCCCGTGACTAAGAACCCGCCACCCTCACTCACGCACCTTGCCGCCAGGCGGGCCGAAGCCGAGTCTGCTCGAGTCGGAGCAGTGAGACAGCCGCTGCCGGCGAATCCCACTTGCACTTGGGCTCGGGTGAGGTGGGGCGATAGCAACGCAGGGCCTCTGCCTCGAGGTCGACGAGATACGCGGCTCGCGCCCGATGCGGAGATATCCGATGTGCGTTTGCCGTTTTTTTCGCGAGGCCCCACGACGCGCGGAGCCGGACGGAGCTCTCGCTGGGCGAAAAATAGTGTACGGTATCCGGGCGCGGCAGCGCCACTGTACTTTGTTACTCAGGACCGTCTCGATCGCAGCTCTTGGAGGCTGGTTCGTCGCAACCCAGCCCCACAACACAGTGTCAGCGCGAACCCGCCGCGTGCGGCCCCCGCCGGGGCCGCGGTGTGGAGGCTTGTTCGCCGCACCAGCCACCAGCGTGCAGCGAAGAGCGAACCGCGGTGTGTGGCGTGTTCCCGCGCCCGCGCTCACTTCTCCCATCGCCTCGCGAGCTCGACGAGTGCGTCGGCGAGCCGCAGCACGAAAACGCGCACGTCCTCGTACGAGTTGTAGAGCGGGACCGGCGCCGCGCGGACGATGTCTGGCTCTCGTGCGTCGACGACGACGCCGCGCGAGAGCAAGGCGGCCTCTAGCTCACGCATCGCTCCGGGAGGACCGCTGCCGCTCTCGGCCTCGGCTCCGCCGGGCGGCGGCGGCGGCAGCACGCGGAGCGACAGCTGGCAGCCGCGGCGGCGCGGGTCGGCGGGAGTGATGATCCTGATGCCGCAGCGCGCCGGCTGGGCTTGAGCTGCCGCGCGCGGGACAGTGAGCTCTTCCTCGTGGAGGAGGAGCTCGAGGTAGCCTGCGGGCTGGCGGGCGCGCGGTGAGGCTTCGGAGATCATAGTGAGGTGTCAAATGGGAGAGATCATGTGAGGTGTCAAATCATCGTGCCGCAAATGGGAGGCCGCAGCTCTTGAGAGGGAAGAGACGAAGGAGGAGGAGGAGGAGGAGGTGGGGGGGTGGTGGAGGAGGAGGGGTGGAGGAGGAGCGGAGGGCGGCGCCTGTGAGGAGCCGCGACTTGCGTCGCGCGGCCTGGATGCCGCCGGCGTCGCGGAGTGTGCGCAGCGACGCCTAGCGAAGCGGCCCAGCCAAGCTGAGGGCCCCTCCCCCCGTCCCGCCGCTGCCGCGTCCCCTCGTCTCGCGCCAAGAGGCAAGCCACCATCAGCGGGTTGACGTTCGAGCACGCGAAGCCAGCCGCGCCGGGGGCGGCGTCGAAGCCGTGCCTACGGCGCAGAGGCTCGTGGCTGGCGGGCGCCCCGTCGCGCCGCGCCGAAGGGCCCTCCAGGCGACCGCGCCTCATCTCGAAGCGAGGCCCGGGCGCGTGCGGCACGCCCCACCAGCCAGTCAGCCTGCGCAGGGCAGGGCAGAGGCTCAGCGGGCCGGCAGCCACCGCAGGCTCTGCAGGCCGGCTAGCCACTGCGGAGGGGGTGCGGCTCCCCTCTCGCACGGCGGCCTCGCCTCGGGTGTGCGCAGCCTACTCAGACTGGTCGGGCGAGCTGGGCTACTCCAGCGAACTGAGCGGTCGCCTCGGGTACGCCCCGTCGTCCGCCGCGTGCCGCGAGTGGACGAAGATGGCGCCGAGGCAGCCTGCGCCAGCGTTGAGGTACTTGTACGTGCACCAGGCGGCGAAGTCGACCCCCCAGTCGTGCAGGGAGAGAGGCACGTTGCCGGCGGCGTGCGCGAGGTCGAGGCCGAGCAGGATCGGCGGCTCGCTGCGCGCGGCGCGGGAGGAATTGATCCGCCGGACGCCGCGCGCGATCGCCTCCATGTCGAGCACCTGCGGGCAGAGAGGCGGCGGAGAGGCAGATGCGGCGGGGAAGAGGCGGCTGGTCGCGGCGGCCGGCGGGTCAGGCAGGCGCGGGTGCGGGCGTGCCCGCCTGCCCGGTCAGGTAGTTGGCCCCTCCGAGCAGGACGAGGGCGAGCGAGTCCTGCAGCGTGTCGATGGCGGCGAGCAGGTCGTGTGTGGAGAGGAGGCCGCTCTCCTCCCTCGGAGCTACCTCGGTGAGCCACTCGGCGGGGTCGTGCCCGTGGTGCCGGACCTGCGACGCGACGGCGTACCGGTCCGACGGGAAGGCGCCCGCCTCGATCAGGATGCCGGCGCGCCCGGCGCTGGGCCGGTAGAAGGCAGCCATCAGCAGGTGCAGGTTGACGGTGAGCGAGTTCATCGCCGCAACCTCGAGCGTCGCGTCAGCGGCGCCGACCAGCTCGCCGAGCAGCGGCACCACGGCCTCCTCGCACGACGCCCACGGCAGCTCGCCCTCAAAGTGACCCGCCACGCCGCGCTCGGCCCACTTGGTGAGCTCGCACATCACGGCGCCCTGCGCCGAGCGCGGCTGCAGCCCGAGCGAATGGCCCGTCAGGTACACAGACGGCTCCGCCTCGCCGCCGCCGCCGTCGCTCGCCGCCGAGGGACGGTGCGGCGGGATCGCGAAGTGCGAGCGTGCGCTGAAGGTGCTGGCTGCGTCGAGCGCTCTGGCGCACGCGGCGGAGGCGAGCGCGGCGCCGTTTACCTCGGAAATCTCGCGCAGGTACGACCCCACGTCTTCGGGGCCCTGATCCTGGGCGGCGTCGGCCGCCATGCGCGGCCAGAGAGCAGGATTCGCTGTTTCCGGTGTGGGATGGGAATCCGAATAGGGGGGTCGGCCACACTGGGGACGTCCGGCACCCCGAGGGTCCCCCTCTTTCCCCTTCCCCCCTCGGAGGGGGCCGGGCGAGGCGTAACCCGAGGGCCCTCTTCCCTGACCCCGCCCGCCTGCACGCCTGCCCTGCCCGCCTGGCTGATAAGATCTTTTCACCTCCTCATTGGTGGAGTATAGGTACGAGGGGGGTGGCGCATCTCTTGCGGGTCTCGCCAGGGGCGCCTACTAACCTCGCTTGCGAGGGGCGTGTGGCATGTCTGAACGGACTCGTGAGGGGCGCCTGCCAACCTCGCTTCGTAGAAGCGGCGCTTTGTACCCACACCCACCCCGCCGCATTCGTCGCCGGCGCGCGACAGGCTCCCGTCGGCCGGACTGCCCTCGACGAGTGGGTGTCGCCAACCAAGGCGACACGCACTCGAGGGTAGTGCCGACGGGACGCGGCTCGAAGGGCGTGGCTCCGCAGCGCGACTGGCACTCGTCGCAGAGGCCTCGCATTCGACAAGTCGGGAACGGCTCTACCCGCAACTTTATCGCTAACACGCGCGCACCGCCGAGCCTGCGGCGGGCGCGCTGCAGCCGCACGTCTACCTTCGTCATAGTGCCACGACGTGCGGCCTAGAATTAGCACACGTGCCTCTGTTCGCTAACACTCACACATTGAATTGTCACCGCCAGTGAGTGCGAGATAGGGCTGGCCGCTGGCGGCTAGCCCGTGAGGAGGGCGACCATAGACACCTCACTAACCCCACACACGGTCTCGTCCGGCCTCGCGGTCGGCGGAGATTGCTAGAGGACGAGCAAGCCTGCTCTAGCCTCGCATATTACCTCCTGTCGTCTGTTGTGATGTTGTGCCCTTGTTTGTTTCTCTTGGCACCTTGGAGTGCTGGGGGGGGGCGACAGGAGGAATGTGGCCCTGAGTTATGTGTACGCCAACTCAGGGTGTGTGGCAGCCAGCTGGCTGTGTGTCTTGTGAGCTTGTTTGTGTCTGTGTGTCGCTCGTGCGTGTCGTCATCATCTGTCTTGTGTCCACCCATACCGCGTTGGTGTCCAGTCCGAGCCTGGCTGTTCTTCACCTTTCTACCTACCTACTCATTTTAAGGGGTTAGGTGGGTAGTGGGTCGGGGGTGGGTCTGGACACTACCGTCTACCCCTACCCTACCCCGGAAACACTCGAACCCAGAGTGGAGTGTGATTTGTTGTTGTGGAGTGTGGCCCGCTATCTCTTGAAAAAGAAATTATCGGCCGCTCACCCGCCCCACGGGTTCGTCGTGCTTCGTATTTATTTATTACCCGCCCCTGGCCTCCTCACGCCTTCGCTCCACTCGCATCTCCGCCGCCCGCCTCGCCGCCGCCCTCCCCGCCGAGGTGGAGCTGCAGGTCGTGCAGCGCGTGCATGAAGCCCCCAAAGAGCCGCGTGCGCTCGGCCATCGTGGCCGAGAGCTCCTCTCCCTCTCGCCGCAGCGTCTCTAGCTCCGAGCTCAGCGCGCCAATCTCTTGCTGCGTCGCCGCGCGCGGCGGGAGCTGGTTGATGCGCCGCGCGAGCGCCGCGTACTGCTCCTTCTGCTGCCGGAGGGTGCGCTCCTCCTCGAGCTTCTTGGAGAGGGCCGAGATCTCCTCGCTCGTGCGGCTCATCTCCGCCCCGATCTCCCCCTCCATCGCTTCGTAAGACGCGACCTGCCGCGGGTGGTGCGGGTGGGTTTGGGGGGGGGGGGGGGGGCGTCGAAGGTCCAGGGGGGTGCAGTGGGCCCGGCGGCGGCCCGGCTGGAGCGCCTGCTGCACGTTGACCGTGATCATCGTGCGCGCCTTGGCCATGCCAAACTCGTAGGCCGCCAGCTCTCTCAGCAGCCCCTGGTACATCTTTTCGCACTCCTCGACCGGCGCCGTCTCGACCGCGGCGGCAAACGCAAGATACCTCTTCGTGAGGTTGCGCAGCGAGGTTTCCTTGGCGAGGAGGCGCTGACGCAGAATCTCCTCCTCCGGAGTCGCCGCAGCAGGTGTCGCCGCTGCAGCCGGAGCGCCCTCGCGCGTCCGCTTGGACATGTCTGCGCGCAGCCTGCGGGAGGCGCGTCCGGCGTCACGGGCGCGCCCCGCGGCGGGGGCGGACGAGGGCGAGGCGCACACCTCACACGCCGAACGACCTCACACGGCGAAGTGTGCGGAGGCTTTCTCTTTTTCGCCGCCCATTTCCTTTTTCTTCACCGTTTACCTCACCTTTTGTTGAGTGTGGTTTCATTGCGTGAACGGTTTCTCGTCCGTCGGCCCGTGGCGCGTTTTACCGGTTGTGTGCGCGCGCGCGAATGCCTTTCGGGACGGCATATGGGTATGCGCTCCTCCTGGCCGCCTCGTCGTCGGCAACCGCTGCCGCCGCCGCCACTGCCGGCGCAGTCCCGCTCACCATCACCGAAACCTCTCCAATCTCTGCAGACGGTGTGCCACGGCTGCTGGCGCGCCTTCCGGGCGTGGAGCTGCTGCCCATGCGCCCAAAGAAGAACTCGAAACCAGCACCTCCCACGACGGACCAGATCACAGTGATCATCAACTCCACGACCACATATCAGACAATCCTCGGCTTTGGCGGGGCCTTCACAGAGGCTGCAGCGCACAACTGGATTCGCCTCAGTCCCCGCGACCGTGCCGAGGTGATGCGACTTTACTTTGCCAAGCCTTCCGAGGGTGGGCATGGGTACACGCTCGGTCGGGTCCCCATCAATAGCTGCGACTTCTCAGTCCGCCCCTACACCTTCGACGAGGTCGCAGGCGACCGTGAATTGGAGCATTTTGACACCACCGTGTCTCACGACGTAGCCAATGGCATTGTGCCCATGATTCAGGCCGCACAGCGTGAGGTTGCGCAGCGCGGCGGAGGAGCTCTGACTATGTTTGCCTCTCCGTGGTCGCCTCCGGCGTGGATGAAAATTCCACTCCTCCCTCCCACGGGCGCTCGGGGGCCGGCGCCCTCTGGGATCTCGATTGCGCGCTGGTGGGAGGCCGACCCCAAAGGCAAGCGGAGCATGATTCTCTCGGACGTGCCGCTCTGTCTTGAAGCGGAGAGTCTGGGCCCCTGGGCAAAGTACTTTTCGCTCTGGATCGATGCGTACCAGCGGCACGGCATCCGAATCTGGGCCGTGACGATTCAGAACGAGCCCATGGCTGCCGTCGGTTGGGAGTCGTGCCTTTGGAGTGCCAACAATTCGGCAGCGTTTGTGCGGGACCATCTCGGGCCGGTGCTCGCTCGAGAGCAGCCCGGAGTGTTGATCATAGGCTACGATCACAACAAGGACAAGGTCGCGAAGTGGGCAAAGGCGCTATACGAGGACCCGCTAGCAGCGCAGTATGTGGCAGGCGTGGCGGTGCACTGGTATGGCGGCCTCAAGACAGAGAGCCTCGACGAGACGCACGCCCTCGCGCCCGGCAAATTTATCCTTGCGTCTGAGGCCTGCAACTGCGGCGGCGTGGTCTTTGAGCAACCGGACGCTCGGCGGTGGTGGGCGAGGGCCGAGGATCTCGCCCTCGATATTCTTGTGGACCTGCTCCACTGGGCCGTTGGATGGACGGACTGGAACCTGATACTCGACATCACCGGCGGCCCAAATCACGCTCACAACCTCTGCGACGCGAATATCATTGCCGACCCGCCCAATGCGCGCGGCCATGGAACTCTGACGCTGCAGGCCAGCTTCTACTTTCAGGGGCACTTCTCTCGGTTCATTCCACCCGGCTCGATCCGCACCAAGTTGACGTTTGACCCCGAGCTGCCACCGCCTGCAATCACCGCGTCCGACGTTCAAAATGGACAGAGCATGGTCTTCGCGGCCTGCGACGGCAACGCGGCGCAGCGCTTCGAGACCAGAGGCGGGAGCCTTGCGGTGAGCGGGACGGCCATGGCTTATGGTGACGGCCATGGCGTCGGGATATGCCTCGACGCCGATGGCGGGTCGGAGAAGCTGCACGCGTGGAAGTGCTACAGCAACAGTCCTAACCAGCACTTCACCTTCGTCCGTGTGCCAAACATCACCACTGCCGCTGGGGCTCCGGTCGCGCAGATTCGCAGCAGCACGACGCCGGTCCGCTGCATCACCGCGGTGCGTGGCGACGGGGCGCTGGTGGGCTTGGACGCTGGCGTTTCCATCATCGCCGCGCGGCTGGAGCACTGCCGCTCTGCGGGCGACTCGATGCAGACGTTTGTCATCTCCCCGGCACCCCTCGCCGGCGCCTCGGCCTTACAAGACCTTCTTGCATTGTTCGAGGTACACAACAACGGTGGCCGTGACGGCAGCGACGGAGACGAAGCGGCGGCAGAGACGCGAGAGGCTGTGCAAAAGACAACGGAGGCAGCGACGCAAAAGGCTGTGCGGACGGCGATCCCAATCACGGTCGAGTGGCGAGGCAGTGCTGGTGGCAGCGATGGTGATGGCGGCGGGAAGGGTGGAGGACGGTGCATGCAACCGCTTCTCGTCCCCAAGCCAAAGTTCGCCGCTGTTTCCTTTGTGACTCCCGACGGCGGCCAGGCGCTAGTCGCGATGAATCGTGGCGACGAGCCCATTCTCCTCTCCCTCTACGACGAGACCTTGTCCGTTGGCGCCACCGGGCTCCCCATCCCGGCGCACTCCATCCAGACTTACACCTGGGGGAGCAGCGGCAAGGTCAACAACGCGACCCCGGTTTCGAACGGAACGAAACTCGTGTCGCAGGCGGAGTTCGAGGCGGGCATTGCAGCGGCGGAAGCGGCTGCGGCGCGGGAGGAGCGGGAGGCGGTGCGGCGCCCGAGTGGTGGGGACATCTGTTCCGACGCGTGCCCATTTGCGTTTGACCAGCAGTGCGACGATGGCGGCGACGGGTCCGAGTTCTCGATCTGCGGTATCGGAACGGACTGCGATGACTGTGGCCCAAGAGGGCGTGGCCACGATCGTTTGATGCGATGGGCACAGGCATTGCTAGTTGGCGTTGTCGTACTGATGAGTGTTATTGCATGGAGTTTACATCGTCGCAGGTGGCGGGCAGGGGGTGACGGGCGCGGGCCGTGCTGCATGCAGCAGGCGCTGCTGCCCAGTGGAGACGGCATGATGGCGAGGGACCCCCCTAGTGAAAAGGGCATCGCTCTTCGATGACATTACCAACCATATCGATAGAGCGTGTGTGAGACTCACCAGACACGGTCCCACTCTCACACAGCACCAGAGGTGTTCCTATAAGGTATATACTAGAGAGAGCCGTGTGTGTGCGCGGTACGCTCGAGTGTCGAAAGCGCTCCGAGTATAAGAGAGTGAGAGGTAGCAAGATAATGGACTCTCGGAGTCCAGCATGTGAAAATGTGACTAGGTCCAGCCGCCCTGGGTGAGCCAGATCTGACGTCGTTTTGTATCGACCTCTACTGCTTACTACCCAGCCCTCGAGAGTGTATCCTGGCTGTGTGGTCCTCCTAGGATATTTTGGAGCCCCTTAAAAGCGGCACACAATGGGACGCCGCCGGGAGCGGGCAGAGGCCACGGATGAGACACACGGGTCACGGCCAGGGCCAAGTTTGTGAACCACGGCTTCGAGCGGCCCTGACCTCCTGACCCCTGAGCAAGTCCGCCGCAGGGGCCGTGTCTGAGCTCACTCGCGTCGAATGCTCTTGCGCTCGCGTCGTCTGCTCTTGCGCTCGCGTCGAATGCGAGAGTGTGTACTACTACTCAACATCCCGGTCCTTCTGTCGTGAGACTCTCAGACTGAGACGTGACGGATCATGATAAATTATCTATCATTCCTCGGGTGTGCCGGGGCGAAAGTACATCTCCTCCTCGCCCTGGCGCTCGAGCAACCTCACTACAGAGCTCAGAGGCTGGCAGCACCTCTTCTCAAGTCTCTAAAGTCTCGCCCGACAAGAAAAAGTCTCTGCCGGTACTACAGGCGCGCCGACCGGACCACGACTGGGCGGGGCATTATCGTTGCCGCCTCGTCGCCCGCGTTGAGAGAGTCGCACACAAACTCGTGGGGGGGCAGGCGGCGTCCGCGCAGCCCCTCGTGGGGGTGCCCACCGCTCTCCTCTCACCGCTCCCCCCCAGCCCGTGGCACCCCACGCACTCGTCCCTCTTCAGGGGCGCAAGGCTGCACGTTTGACACTTGCCTCGGCCAACCTCGCCGTCGCGCCCGCCGCCGCGACCAAGGAGGTGGCCTCGGCGGCCCAGACGAAGCCCGTGCGGCTCGTTTGGGAGCCGCGCGCCGTCCCTCTCTCGCCCGCGCCGCTCACCACGCCCGAGCTCGCCCAAGCCCACGTCCCTCCGGCCGCAGGCGCCGCCGGGGAGTGACCAGCGCCCCTCCCGAGCACCTTCCCGGCGGGCAGCGCCTCCGTAGCGGCGCTGGCGGCCCCTGCGAGCCGGCCGGCGCCACGAGTGAGTATTCGAAGGCGCGCGCGTCCCCTCTCTCCCCGGCCCGCCGCGTCTCTCTGACCACCCCTCCCCCTCCCGGGTCAGGCGTGCATCGGGCGTACAAAATGGCCGCAGAGCGCAGCTTCAGCGACGCAATCTCTTCCGCCTGAGCGGTGGGTAACTCCCTGGCCGGGCTCGGGCCCTCTCGGGCTGCTGCGAGCTGCGCGATGCGAGTCCCCTCCGCCGCACGGCCGTGCCCCTGCCCCTCACACTCCGACTCCGCCGCAGGACCGGTCTGGCGACCCGGGACGGCCGCCTAGAGTACCACCACCGACCATCCCGACCCCGTGGGGGCCGGGGCGGGCCAGCCAGACGTGAGAGCGCCCCTCCCCCCCTCTCGCGGCGCGTCCCCTCCTTCCTCCCCGCACCCCGCCACCCGGCTCGCCGCCCCGTCGCCGTCGCGAGTCAGCCCTCGGTCAGGTACTGCCAAAGGCGGCCGCAAGCAGCACCATCGCTACCAGCGCCACCGTGCCGGCGCTGGTGAGCTCTGCGGCCCGTGTAGCGGCCCCTTAGCCCGTCGCCCGGGCACATGGCGCCCTCACACCGCTCCTCGCCCCCGTCTTGCAGGCCAAAATCGTCGACATCGCGTCGGCACTCTCTACGGCGCGCCTGGGCTTGCAGAGGGCGGCTTGGGCGGTGCAGGGTGGCTGGGCCGCCCCCCTCCCGCGGTGCGCCAAGCCTCGGGGGTCGGGGAGACCATCTCGGGTCGCCGAGGGGGCGGGTCGGACGCCCGATCCGGCTGCTGGCCGGAGGACGTCGCCGGCTCCGCGATTTTGGGCGCCCCAGGCGCCTCCAGCCGGGCCGAGCGGCGCCAGCTGGTAGCTGGGGCCGCAGGGCGGTCGGGACGACACCGTATGCTAGTCGGGGTGGATTGTCTAGGGGCGTAAAGTTCGGTAGAGTGTCCGTTTGTGGCCTCCGGACGGGCTCTGGTCGGAGCCCGCCCGCGCCGCGGGCCGGCTGAGGCTGTGTGTCCGTCCACTGTGGACCCAGTGATGGCCTAGGAGCCCTGCACGGACGGTGTTTATGCTATATAACACCTAGGGACCGCGTGGGGTGGGCGGCGAGCCGTGCATCGGCCGACATTGTGCCGACATTGTGCCGACATCGGCCGACATTGCGCCGCGGAGCGTTCTCGCGCCGGCCTGTCCACAGACTCGAGCTCTTCGAGCACCGATTGGTCCCCTCCGCACACGTAGAGCATGGTCAAACCAGGTCATGCAAAACGGGCCCTGAGTGTGACCGAAACGCTTACCTCCTCAATGCGCCGAGCGTCCCAGCCCCGCCTTGAAGGCCTCGTCGAGCACCTCGCACAGCGTCGGGTGTGTGTGCACCGTCATCGAGAGCTCCTGCAGCGTCGTCCCGTGCTGGATGGCGTTGGCGCACTCCTGGATGAGGTCCGCCGCGTGTATGCCGATGATGTGCACCGCGACCACCTCGAAGGTGTCCTTGCGGAAGATGACCTTGGCGATGCCCTCGCCCTCGCCCTCGGCCAGCGCCTTCGAGTTGGCCTTGAAGTTGCCCTGCGCGATGCCCATCTCCCAGCCCTCCTTCTCCGCCCGCTCCTTGGCCTGCTCCTCGGTCGGCCCAACCATGGCGATCTCGGGGTGGGTGAAGCACGCCGCCGGCACCGCGTCGTGGTTGAGCACGTGCTCGTGCCCGCACATGTTCTCCACCGCCGAGATGCCCTGCGCCGACGCCGCGTGCGCCAGCATCATCTTGCCGTTCAGGTCGCCGATGCACCAGAGCCCGTCGATGACGTTGCCGTCCTTGTCGAGCGCGCGCATCTTGTCGTCGACGGGGACGAAGCCGCGGTTCGTCTCGACGTTGACGTTCTCGAGGCCCAGCCCCTCCGAGAACGGCTTCCGCCCCGTGCACACCATCACCGCGTCCACCTCGATCGTCTCGACGTGCTCCTTTGTGTTTGCGTCAATCATCTTGACCGTCGCGGGCCGCTCGCCGGGGATGCCGGGAGTCACCTGAGGGAGGCGGGCGAGGCGCGGCGGGCTCGGCGCGGGCGAGCGGGCCGCCGCGTCCGCCGCGCGGCAGGCCGGCGGCGCCTCGGACGCGAACACGTTTGTGTACGAGTCGATTGCGCGCGGCCGGATGAGGATCCGGTCTGCGAGCTGCGCAATCTGGCGGTCAAAGAAGGGCATCATCTTGGGCATCGCCTCGATGAAGGTGACCTCGGAGCCGAGCGCGGTGTACACGTCCGAAAACTCGAGCCCGATGTACCCCGACCCGATGATTGCGATCCAGTCGGGCACCTGCGGCAGAGAGGCGGCGGTCGGCGGGGGGCCGTGCGTGGCGAGCGAAAGAGGTGGCGAGACGCGCCCACTCGAGCTTGAGCGCCTCGTCCGAGGTGAAGACGGTCTTGCCGTCCGTCTCCACTCCGGGCGGCACGAAGGGCACCGAGCCCGTCGCGAGGATGACATTCTTCGCCTCGATGGTCTTTCCGGCGCCGACAAGCTCGATGCTGGTAGGGCCGGCGAGGGAGCCCTTCTCCTCGAAGACGGTGACGCCGAGGGCGGTGAGCGAGCCGCGCAGGTTGCCCTGCACGCGGCTCGCCAGGTTGTTTGCGTGGTCCGCCACGCCCTGCCGGTCGTATGTGACGGCGCCCTCGAGCTTGACGCCCATCGCCGCGAGGTGCTTGTCGTTCTGCATGTCGCGCACGCGGCCAGAGGCGGCGAGGAGGGCCTTGGACGGGACGCAGCCGCGGTTGACGCACGTGCCGCCCACGTCCTCGCCCGCGCACACGGCCACCTTGAGCCCGCGCGACACGGCGTGCAGCGCCGCACCGTGGCCGCCGACGCCGCAGCCAACAATGACGAGGTCAAAGTCGGGCTCGGCCATGCGCAGGCCGGAGAGCGCGCCGCGGCCGGCCGTGGCGCGCGGCGCGAGGTGCACCGACGGCAGGTAGGCGCCGGACAGGGCCGCAGAGAAGGCAGAGAGCATGGCTTGTCCGGCGAGCGAAGGCCTGAGATGCGGTGAACCTCTGTATTCTTTTTTCCTTTTTGCTCTTTTCTTTCATTTCCCTTCGGTTGTCTATTTTCTTTCTTTCTTTGAGAGGCCCCGCCACGAGAAGTGCGTTTTGGGGATGCAGGGGTGCAAGGCGGCAGGGATGAAGCCGCAAAGGAGGCGCGCGAGGCAAGGAGGAGAAACGGAGAACGGAGAGATTGAGACGATTTTACCCCTCTCTTGGATTTTTTCGTTAGAAGGGTGGGCGACGGCCGTGAAGCGTGATGCGTGAAATCCCTGACCCTGTGTGGTGGCGGCGTGCCGTCCTCCCATCCCTGCTCCCTTGGCTCGTGTCACGTGTGTTCTCTTTCTTTCTTTTACACGCATCTCTCTCGCATCCAAGAAAGAGAGAGATGTGTCACACACTCGCATCCAACAAATCAGGTGATGATATGGGAGAAAAGGGGGGACGACACCGCCCGATCTACCCTCCGGGGTCCCTCGGCGGCGTGCACCTCGATCCTGGAGCCGAGTGATGGGGTCCCAAAATGTCGTGCGATGGTCTCAGGCCCAGTGAGGCAGTGCATCCGACTGCCCCGGATCCCAGCTGAAACGAGCTCCTCTTGGCTCCAAGTAGGCAAGTGCTCTTGTAGCATTAGCACTCTCTCGTGGTCTTGCTATCGCGATCCACGGTCGCAGCTGGAGAGGAGTTGGCCTGTATCCATGCTTCCGGAAACCAAAAAGGAAACGAGAGTACGAGAGGGTCCCCAGCACTTTGCGTTTCCGGAAATTTCCAGGGAAACTAGAGGGTACTCCATTCTGGCAACTCTCGAGTTTCCCTGAGTCTGAGAGCTGGTCTGGGGCAAAATCTGAAAGGCGAAACCGAGGAAATCGGCAAAATACCGGGGGGTTTCCAGGTATACCCGCAAAATACCCAGATATCTTGCCGCTTTGGCTGATTTTGGGCCCAAACCAGCTGATTTCCACGGAGTTTCCTCGGGAAACTAGAGAGGAAACAAGAGGGTGTGCTGTGGAGAAACACGGAAAGGAAACGAGACGGTAGTGTTGTGGACGGACGGAAAACACCCCCCCTTTATGCCTGACCCTGGGCATGGCCTCCCTGGGGGGGAGCTGGGCCGGCCGCCTCCGGGTCCGCAACTCGCACGGTGGGCTCGCGTCCGGGCGAGCATCCGAGGCCCGCAAATGTCCTCTCGCTGGGCGCGACCGACATGGAGACTCACTGCACACAGATCTGTGCTTTTGGCGCCTATTGCTCGCTCTCTGGGCAATCGCAACGCCAGAGGCTGTGCTTGGAGAGTGTGTCGCAGTGCTGCTGCGTCAGTGGATTGAGCCGCGACGCAGGCTCCATCGGTGAGCTGCGGCGGCGCGCCGGCCGCTCCATCCATAGCTCTCCGGCGAGCCGTCGCAAACGCGTTTTCCGTCCGTTTTCATCGAGTTTGCCCGAGTGGTAAAATGCAATCGAATCTGCCCGAGTGGTCAAGTAAAACTTTGCCTTGGGCAGCGAGCGAAGTGGGTGAGACTGATGATGCTCCTTCGACTTAGGGAGCGGTTCAGCTGCTGGGCGGGCTTCAGGCTGGTGCTCACGCGAAAAGGAATCGACGCGATGTACAAAGCATACACAAGAAGAGGAGAAAGAAGAGGACGGACATCAGTGATGACGAAACAGAAGCTAGCGCAGACGAGGGCAGGGCAGACCCGGGGACGGCGGAGTCGGAGCAGACGGCATCGGCCGCCGAGGAAACGTTGGGAAGAGGCACGAGGAGGGCGGCGACCTCGACCGACTACGGAGGACCCGTCACCAGACGACGCAGGGCAGACGACGGGGAGGCCGAGCAGACGCGCAGGGCGAGACGAGGGAGGGAGCAAGATGTTGCTGAGATCAGCAGGAGGATGTACGACGAGATTAGGAGCAGCAGGGACCCGAGGGACCATGTGGAAGACGGCTAGTGCTAGTCCCCCATCGGGAGGACGACCGACCCCGGCTAGTCGCCGACCACACCCACAAAGAACCCTGCACAAAGACCGCAGGGCGGGGACCTGTTCCTTTTTACCCATCTCCTAGTAGAGGTGTCCGTTTTATTTATTCCCACCGCTTGGCTTCGTCAACGGGCGAGTGCCTTACCACACTCGCCTCGGCATCACTCGAAGCCGCGAGCTCGGATGCGGCCACAAGAGCGGCCTGCTTGGCACGCAGCTGCGTAATCGTCGGCCCGCGTGCGCGGCTCTTCACGGCCTGTGCCGGCGAGTTGGCGTTCACGCGCTGAATCATCATCGTCATGGCTGCTGTCTCGCTCGCTCGTGCGTCCTTGGAACTTGTGCCCGCCTCCTTCTCCTATGAGCTCGTATGCCACGTCGCCGCCTGTGTTTGGGTTTCTATGTTTGCTGTGAGAGAGGCTTGTATCTTAAGAATTCTATGTTTGCGATTTGGAATTTGGTATTTGTCCAACTCTTTGTTTATTTATTTACCTACCTACCTACCTACCTATTATCTCGAGCAGCAGCGGGCCAGCGGCGCGCAAGAACCCCTTTCTTTCCTTCGGGGGCACTCTTCCGCACCGGCCTGTGTTCGTGCGTCCCGCCCTTGTCTCCTGGAGATGCCACGTCATGTTTTGGCTTCTTCCTGATCTTTTTGTTTACTACCCTGGTATGAAAAGAAAAAGCTTTGTAACGTGCGATAAGACGGCAAAGCCCATTGAGCCAGTCTTCTCTCTCGAGCCTGATGAGCTCCACTGGCGGCGGCGCGGACGGCCGGTCCGACTGGGCCGGCGACTTTGCCTGCGTCGAGTGCGGCCGCAAGCGGCTGACGGCCGCCGCCTTCTCCAAGCGCTCGATCGAGCGGCACCGCACGGCCAACGTGCCGCTCAAGTGCACAGCGTGCGTCGAGGCGGCGGCGGCCAAGGAGCGCGCGGCGGCGGCGGCCAAGGCCGCTGCGGCGCCGGCTCCCGCCGACGGTGGCGGCGGTGAGGTGGTCTGCAGCGCCTGCTGCAAGCCGAGGCCCGCAGGCGACTTCACGCGGGCGCAGCTCCAAAAGGGAGCCAAGGCGCGGTGCGGCGACTGCGTGGCGGCGGCCGGCGCGGCGGCGGCGGCAGCGCCGTCCGACGCCTGGGAGGCGAGGTATAAGGAGGCCAAGGAGGCGGCGCGAAAGGCGGAGGCCGTCGGCACCGCAGCAGCGAGGCTCGCGGCGGCGAGCAAGGTGGCGGCGTTAGAAGGCGAGCGCGTGACTGGCCTGAAGCCAGTGGTGCTCGGGCGCGGCGGGCGCGGGCGCGGCTCATGGAGAGGCCGAGGTGGGACGCGTGGGCGGGCGTGAGCCATGGTGACTCTCAGTCTCACCAGCTGGGCAGGCGAGGGACACGCTTGGGAGAGGATCTCCACAGTGCGCGCTCTCACGAACGAAGACCTCTCTCTGTTTACGTCGGTAACCCCGGGAGTATTGCAATACAAGCTAAAAAAGCTCTCTCGAACAACACCTGGCGGTGGGCGCGGGGTGCACAGGCTGCAGTGTGCAGCTGCAGGACGAGAGCGGAGCGCTCAGGCCAGAGGCAGAGCGCTGAGCGGGGGGCCACAGATCGCGCAGAGACGATGGGGAGAGACGGCAAACGGCGAGCACACCTCGGGCGGCCCGCGCCGGGTATGGCGTATGCACGCAGCAGTGAGCAGAGCGAACACTCGACGCTCGAGCGAACGAGCCGCGACAGCCGGCGCGACACAGAGCGAGGGCGCGCAAGGAGCTGCATTTTCTTGCGGCGCTGCGCCCGCACCACGGCCGACAACGCATGGCACCTCCAGCAAGAGCGCGTTCTGGTGTAGAGGGCTTGTTGCGGGTGGGCGCGGATCGATGCTCGCTATCGAAGATGTGGGCGCTCGCGTGCCGTCGCTGCTGAGAACGCCAGCGCCCGCTCAACCGTGACGAGACGGGGCGTGAGGGCGGGCTCATCGCCCTGTGCACGATTGCCTCGTCGCAGAGGGCACAAAAAGGCTCGAAAGGTAACCTCGCAGTGGCGCACCACGCGCCGCCGGCCGTCGGGGCTCCAGGCCTATAGTGGCACAGGGCAGTCGGTCGGGAGCGTGGTGGCGGGAGACACAGTGCGTGGTGACTAACGGTTTCCATGTTCGTGGGTCTTGGAGTGTGGGCGTCGCAACGGGAAGGCTATACGGACGTTGCGCCGCCACTCGTGGCATACGCGGCCGATGGCTGTGGTTCCGTTGATTGCGCCCATCGCCGAGACGTTGCGGTGCACAAAGAGCATGTTGCCGGCCAGGCCGCAGTCGCACAGGTACACGTACTGCTGTGCACGGAAGAGCTGCATCAGCTGTGAGGACGGGCGCTGCACCGAGACGATGGACACGGTGTGCGTCTCAAACGGGAAGGTGGCCATGAGGTCGTCCTCGGCGCCGTCGGCGTTGAGGCTGAGGTAATCGATGTGGCGCGGCACAGCGAAGGCGCGAAAGAGGTGCGCAAACGTGACGGCTCGCACCGTGCTCTCCCGCTCATAGTCCGCCGCCTCGAGACGTTCGAGCACGCGAGCCACCTCCCCTTCCCGGCCAGCGACGACGGCGTTCTCGAGGGCACTGTAGGGGCTGCGAGCCCCGAACGGTCGCTCCAACGTCAGCGGCACCGTGCCTTCGACTTTCGCCACGCCGACACCAACCACCGTGCAGCTGCGGGTGGAAGTGAGCCGCTGCTGGAAGTAGGGCCGAGGCTCGAGGCACAGCCCGCCCCACCCGTAGTCGCGCTCGAGCGCGAGGGTGTTGGAGTCCTTGACGGGAGCGCTGGCGGTGAGGTCGATGAAGTAGCCGCCTCGCTTGGCGCCCAGCAGCGCCAGCACCGCCCGGTCCTGCTGCGCCGAGCTGTGCCACACAGGTGACATGCGAAGGCTCGGACCGGGTATGCAAAGAACTCGCGGCCGACGGTGCTAACGCGGACTGCCTCGGTCAAGGCGTCGTGCGTCCGAGCGAGGACGTGTCAAAAGTTGTCACTGGGTGACGGGCCCGTTCGAACACTTCTTTCTTCAAATTAGCTTTTGAGAAAATTCTCTCCCTTGCCTGCGATGAGTGTGCAGCTGTGGGCACGACTAAATAAGGACCTGAGTGAGAGTCAGGGACAGCCTCGCGCACCCTGCCTGTCTCTCTGTCAAGTCTGTCTGTGTGTGATGAGTGACTCTCTCTCTCTCTCTCTCTCTCTCGCTCGCTCGCTCTCGCTCTCTCTCTCGCTCTCTCGCTCTCTCTCTCTCTCTCTCTCTCTCTCTCTCTCTCTCTCTCTCGCTCGCTCGCTCGCTCGCTCGCTCTCTCTCTCTCTCTCTCTCTCTCTCTCTCTCTCTCTCTCTCTCTCTCTCAAACTCTCTCTCCCCCTTCCCCCCTCGGAGGGCCGGACTGAGGCGTCGAGGGCCCCGCTCTTTCCTTCGCATAGCGGCCACTCTTCGGATCGCTGGTCGAGCGACCCGGGGGATGCCCCGCGCGCCTGACCCAGGCGCGAAAACGAATCTGCGAGGCGTGGCCGCTCATGCGGCCCGATGGGGAGGAGCGGGGCAGCTTACCGGGATCGGCTTCTTACACAGCCCTTCCCTGCAGCGAGCCCCCTCCAACCCACCCGCGCTAGGTCTCGGGTTTGACGCATGGGGTCACTCCCGCGAAACTCGTGAACTAGCCGGGGCAGTCGGAGGAGGGGCAACTCCGTGCACTGACGGTCGGCCGTCAGAAAACACGCCTCCGTGGCTCGGGTTACACCAATCCTCGCTACCCAACGCGGCCAAAGGATATCCACCTCGAGAACCTCGAGAACCTCTCTCTTGGAGCACTTGGAGTACAGTCATTAACTCTCTCTCTCTCGCTCGCTCGCTCGCTCGCTCGCTCGCTCGCTCGCTCTCGCTCTCTCTCGCTCTCGCTCTCGCTCTCTCTCTCTCTCTCTCTCTCTCTCTCTCTCTCTCTCTCTCTCTCTCTCTCTCTCTCTCTCTCTCCCTCTCTCTCTCTCTCTCTCTCTCTCTCTCTGAAACTTCTCGCTCTCTTGGAGCACTTGGAGTACAGTCATTAACTCTCTCTCTCTCTCTCTCTCGCTCGCTCGCTCTCTCCTCCTCCTCCTCCTCCTCCTCCTCCCTCCTCCTTCTCCTCCATCAGACAAAAAATAAAGAAAAACACCGAGCTCATCTCATAGAAGTTGGCCGAGGAGCTGGCCTGGTCTCGGAGGGAGCAGCGCCGGCCGGCCATGCTCGGCGGAGTGCCGTACTCGTCGCAGCGAAAGTCTGAAAGTGCGTGGCAAGCCGCCGTCGAGCCTCCTTTCCGCCGCACACGCCACCGGCCCCCTCCCCGTCCCCGCCGCGCCATGCGCCGGATTGCTCCCGCGTCCTTGTGCTGTGTTGTTGGGGCGGTGGGTGATGAGCCATCCGCCGAGATGTGTAAGGGGTGGGCGGTATGAGCCTGGCGTTCACGCCCCTGACGGCCTCCCGCGCCCCCTCTCAGGCGCCAACCAGGGGTACAGTATTTGGGGTCTTCCGCAGCCTCTCGCGCAGCCATCGGCGGCTGCAAACGGAGGGCACGCGGCGGTCAACGGGACGTGGGGCAGCGGCTGGGCCGCGCCGGCACAGGCCACCGTGTCGGTAGAGGCGCAAGCGCCGGTGGCTCACGCTCCGCCTGCGGCCTGGAGCAAAGCCAGCGCACCGCAATCGCTCCCCGACGCGGTGCCCGGGCTCTGCGGCGGCGGGCTGGGCGGCGGCGGGCTGGGCGGCGGGCTTGGCGCCGCGCTGGGAGGCGGCGCCACGGACGTGCTCCCCGGGCTCGATGCGGAGCCGGGTGCGCGGCTGCCGTCCGCGTCGCCAAAGCGCTCGCCCGGCTTGTCCGCGGTCGGCTCTCCTCTGGCGGCGTCCGCCTCCTCGGTCGGGTCGCCGCTGTGCCTGCCGGCGGTGCCGAGCGGGCCACTCCCCGGGGCGCTGCCGCCGTCGAAAATGGCGACGGCCGGGCCCGTCGCTCTGGGGGCTGGGTTGGGGGCGATGGCTTCCCTGGTTGGTGGGGGGGCCACCGCGCCGGCTGCGCCGGCAGCCGGAGAGGGGAGGCTGCTCGTGCGCTGCAAGGGGCTGCCTTTCTCGGCGACAGCGGCGAGCGTGGCGAGCTTCTTCGAGCCGCTGGTGCGCGCCGCCGCCCCGCGCATTGCGCGCCACCCCTCTCGCCGCACGCTCCCTCGCCGGCGGCGGCGGCAGCGGCCACACACGCGCGCGCACACACCCCCTTGGCGCAGTCCCGCCCCCCTCCCCCCCCCCTCCCCCCTTTCTCTTGTTGCGGAGGCCACTCCCGTGCCGGAGGCCCGTCCGACCCCCCCCTCCCCCCCTCCCCCTCCCCACAGGACATTGTCGCCGGCGGCGTGCACCTCCAGCTGAACGCGGACGGAGTGCCGAACGGGGAGTGCTACGTCGAGTTCGCCTCTTCCGAGGCGCTCGCAGCCGGGCTGCAGCGCAACAGGCAAGTGATGGGGCACCGGTACGTCGCGGTGCAGCGGGTGGACGGCGCGGAGGCGGAGCGGCTCGCCGCCGCGGGCAGCCTTGGCGCGCCGCCCGCGCCCGCGCCCGCGCCCGCGCCCGCGCCCGCGCCCGCGAGGGCGGTTGCGCCCGCCGCGGCGGCGCAAAAGGTTGGGGCGGCGGCGGCGGTGGCTGCGGCGGTGGCGGTGGCGGGGAACGGCACGGGCGGGTCGGGCTCGGTGCGGGCGGCTCGTCCCGGCTCGGCCGCTGGCAGGGAGCGGGTCGGCCACGGCGCGAGCGCGGTGCCGCCAAGCGGCGACGGTGGCAGCAGCGCGGTAGTCGTCAAGATGCGCGGCCTGCCGTACTCTGCGAGCGACGAGCAGATCGCCGACTTCTTTTCGGGGCTGCGCATCGCCCCGAACGGCGTCTCGATCGGGCGCGACGCGGGCGGGCGGCCGTCGGGCGAGGCGCACGTCGAGTTTTGCTCCGACAACGACGCGCAGGCGGCGATGGCCTTCAACCGGCAGAGGATGAGCGCGCCGGGCGGAGGCTCGCGCTACATCGAGCTTTTCCGCACAAAGCAGCTCTCGTCGGGGGCGCGCGGGAGGTCGGCCGCGGCGGGCGACGCGGCCGTCGCCGCCTCGGGCGGCGGCGCCGACTCGCTCCGGCTGCGCGGGATGCCCTTCCACTCGACGGAGGCGGATGTGAGCTCCTTCTTCAAGGGGTACAGCATCGCCGCGGGGGGGATCAAGCTCGGGCCGCAGGGAGGGCACGGGCACGTGCGCTTCGCGTCGGTCGAGGAGGCGCGTCGCGCGCTGGTCAGCCTCAACCACTCGTACATGGGCAACCGCTACATCGAGCTCTTCTGGGCCTCGTGACGGTCAGCCCCGCGGCTGGCGCGGGGGCGAGGCCGCAGCGCCGCCGCCCCGCAGGATAGGTTGGGCGGGGTCTCGGACGGGGGCTCGCGGCGAGCCCCCTGCTCTTCCTTGTACATGGGGAGCGGCCCCCGCTCTCTCCCTGCCGCCCGGCCGGAGGGGGACGCCACGGCGCGCCCGCGCGCCGTGCGCTGTGTCCCTCCTGGCAGAAAGGGTGTGGGTGCAGGGGAAGGGCGGGCCGGTCGCAGACGTTTTTGAGCTATTGTGGGGAGAGGCGGCCGGCGTGGACGAGGGCAGGGTTGGCGCTCGGCCGTGCGCAGCGCGGCGCACGCTGCCGTCTCGTCTCGACTCTCGTCGGTGCGCATGTCTCCCACGGCGCCTCGGGTAGCTAGCGCGCGCGCCTAGAGAGAGGGGCCCCTCTCTCGAGCGCGGGGCGCGGCCACACGACGCGCAGTCTTCTCTGGATGCGTTTCTATTATGTTGTCGTCTATTTGCTGTTACATGGGTTGTAAAAGTGCTCGCTTGACAGAACCCCGAGACCGACCCCGGGGTGTGAGAGTGAGACGCCCACACGCAGTTCTGCCACAGACCACACAGTGTGCGCACAGACCGTGTGTGGCTCCGCACATCCGAAAAACATCCGCGAGCGTATACGCGCTGCTGCTCACCCTCATACCTCCACCGGCGCGGCGCCCGCCGCGGCGCCGGCGGCCGGGTCTCGCTCCATCACGAGGACGACGTGGCACTCGAGAGCACGGCACTCGCCGACCTGCGAATCGCCACGGTGTGGGGCCGGGGGTGAGGAGGGCGGCGGCGAGGGCAGCCAGGGCAGCCGCCGGCGGGGCGCACCGAATCGACGAGCTCGTGCGTGCGCGCCTTGACGTTCACGCGGCCGAGCGGGACCCGCAGCAGCCTCGCCAGGTTGGCGCTCATCCGCGCCTTGACCTGCCCGCCCGCGTGCTCCACGTTGATTCGCGGCTTTTGGCAGATGACCGTCACGTCGACATTGCCCACGCGGTATCCTCGCCCAACCATGCGCTCGTACGCCTCCTCCATGAACACCTCCGAGTCGGCACCTTTAAGCCGCGGGTCGTTGTCCGGAAACAGCTGCCCTATGTCCGGCATCGAGAGCGCGCCGAGGATCGCGTCCGTCACCGAGTGGTACACGACGTCGCCGTCCGAGTGCGCCACGCAGCCGAGATTGAAATCTGGCGCGTCGGAGCCGTCGAATTTGACGCCGCCGATGATGACGGGCTGACCGGCCTCCTCGCGCGACGCCATGCGGTGGATGTCGTACCCGTGGCCAATGCGCAGCAGCGGCTCAACAGAGGGCTCCACCACGGTTGCACATGCGCGGCCGCCGCGCAGGCCGGCAGGGCTGGCCGAGAGTATGGCTGGCGCACGGTGCGCCGTGAGGCGGGCCGAGGCGGAAGGCACGGCGAGACATCCCAGGAGGAGAGCCTTGAGCATGGCGAGCTGCAAAAGGCAGCAGCGAGAGAAGAAAAAAAACCCGCCCGTGGGCCGGTGGGAGTGAGCGGGTCGGGGTTGCCGAGTCGCGCCTGCCGTCCCGTGTCGCGGGAGCGAGCCGGCGCGGGTGCGAGTTCTGAGGCTGTCCATGCTCGGTGGATCTGTCTTGTCCTCCCCGACATGAAAGGACAGAGTGTCCCTTGTAATGCGAGAGCGTTCGTTGTGTTCTTGTGCCTCTCGCTGCCATCAAGAAGAAGTAAGCATAACTGCGTGCGTGGCGGCCATGCTGCAGCAGAGCGAGAGAAGAAAAGGCTAAAGCAGGGGGACAGTGTGTGTGTGTGTGTGTGCAAGGGGGGGGGGGGGTAGCTCTTAACGAAATACCGGTGAACTGCTGATCTGCTGAGGGAGTGCGGGGATAGGAGGAACGGCAACGGGGTGCCCTTAGTCACAGCTTCCCCCGCGGGACATGTCCACGCTGGACGTCCCGGGACATGGCGATGGACGACCGGCCCTCGCGGGCCGGCGTGGATGGGGCGGCGCGCGAGCCGCGCGCCTGCCCCGGGGGGTGGACGCCTGCTGCGTCGCCTCCTTCCCTAAACCTGCCGACCAGTCCGCTTTTTGAGCAGGTGTGCCGCCGCGCGAGCGACGCTCCGAGATCACCCGAGATAGCGCGGCGCGGCCCCGAGATCGCCCGAGATAGCGTGAGATCGCCCGAGATTGCGCGGCGCGGCCCGAGATCGCGCACCTCGGCACTTGGCGAGGTGGATGGGTTGGGAGCGAGGGGGCGGAAGTGTTCAGTGCGGTAGATGGTCAGCTCGGGGCGCGTGAGCCGGACTTGTGGGCCGGACCACCCAAGTCCTTTACTCTGCGTTGTTGAGCCAGGACTCAACATACTCGTCTGTCGCCGTCCCAAACTGTCACTCCCCTCTCTCCCGGCCGGGGTGGGGCGCGCGCTGGGGTGGCGGGTGTGCGGGATGTCTGTGGGCCCGAGAGCGATATGCCATGTCCGCCTTGCTTTGTTCCCTAACATCGAAGGCTAAGCTCAATAAAAAACAAAGACTCGAGTCTTGAAGAGAGATACAGAAAAAACAAATCGGTCGGGGTGTCGAAATTTCCATGCTAACCTGTCTGGTGTCGGCTGCGCTGTCGCCCTCGCTCTCCCGAGGTTTTCCTTCGATCCTTCGCGGCGGCGGTCCACGCATGATGTTCAACATGTTCACTGAGCCCAAGCTCATCGAGCCGGAGAAGGCACTGCCTGGTCGCGAGGCGTGCGCTTCTCCCGCCTCCGCCGAATACACACACAAGTTTTTCGCTATTACACACCCACGCCGGCGCGTGACCGCGCCGGTTGTAAGCGGCGGCCAGTTGGTCGCAGACCACCTCCCGGACACAAACTAGTCTTGAGAATGGCGGCTTCCTGGGTGCCGCAGGCGCCGATGCGGGTTTCCGACCGCCATGCTGTCCTCGGGAGCAAGATGAAGGGCCCCTGGCCCGCGGGGTACAAGGTGGCTGTGTTTGCCAACGGCTGCTTCTGGGGCTCCGAGAAGGGCATCTGGCGGCTGCCCGGCGACGGCATTTACACGACAGCGGTTGGCGCCACCTAGATGCGAGAGGAGAGGCGAGAGGAGAGAGGGCGGAGGCGACGCCTCGCCTCGCCGCGGCGCAGGTTGGGTACGCCGCGGGCTTCACGCCCAACCCGACGTACGAGGAGGCATGCTCCGGCAGGACGGGCCACACGGAGGCGGTGCAGGTCGTCTTCGACCCGGAGAAGGTCACCGCCGCCTTCCCCACCACCCCCTTCCCTGCGCCTCCATCGCCACCGCCACCCTCCCCACCCGCTCCGAGCACTCCCCGAGTCCTCCCCGAGTCCTCCCCTAGGTGTCGTTTGTCGACATCCTGCGCTGGTTCTGGGAGGCGCACGACCCGACGAGCGGGATGGGGCAGGGCAACGACCGCGGCACGCAGTACCGCTCCGGCTTCTACTGGTTCGATGACGAGCAGAAGGCACTCATCGAGGCGTCCAAGGCGGCATACGGAAAGGCGCTCGGCAAGAGCATCACCACCGAGACGGCGGCCGCCTCCGACTACGACAAGTATGGCGGCGTCTTCTACTACGGCGAGGACTACCACCAGCAGGCGAGGGGGGCGCACCGCCACGCGCTCCCCCCTCCCCCCCCCGTGCCGACGGGCCGCCTCCCACCCCCCTCCGCCGCAGTACCTCGCCAAGCCGATGGCGCGGCCCTACTGCTCGGCGCAGCCCCAGTGCGTGTCGCTGCCCCCATTCGAGGAGTGGGCCCCGCCCGGCCTCGAGCACCACGCGCCCAAGCTTCCCGAGGCCTTCTGGAAGAGGCACGGCCCGAAGCCGCACTGCGTGATCCGCTCGCCCGACGAGCCGATCAAGTGGGGCGACTGGTAGAGGCAGGGGAGGCTGGTTGAGGCTCGGCCGCGCGGTCCGCTGGGAGCCGAGCCAGCGTGGCACTGCGGCCTGAGTTTTAGAGCATGGGGTGGCCGGGAGACAGATTGAGCGCATTGATGTAGAGTAAGGTCTCCGTTCAATCGAGGAGATTTCATCACGCTGATGCTATCTCTCTGGCGTGTGGGGACCCCGGCCCCGGGTCGGGCGCGGGTCGGCGCCCGTGGCCGTGCGCCCCCGCGTGTGGGGTGGGCGCCTTGGGCTGGGCCTGGGGGCCTCGTGTGGCCGAGGGGCCTGAGAGCCGGGAGGGTGAGGCTTGGCTCGGTGGCACGAACCGCGGCGCCCATACCTGCTCGTTACACGTTACTCATACACGGTGAAACACACCTCGCGTGCTCTCTTCACTTTCTTCGGCGCCGCCGCCGGTGGCGGCATATCGACGGAATCCGACACAGTCTGGCTTGCCTTTGCAACTGTAGGCCGAGGCGATGGCGGGGGCGGTGGAGGCGGGGGCGGGTCGGCCACAGATGACAGCGCTCTTCTTTTGCGCTCCTCCTCTTTGCTTACCGCCCAGTTCTCCATGAACGCGCGGGTCGCGTTGAGCTCCTGCGCGCACAGCACTACAGCCCGCTGGGATTGCTTCTCCACGATTGTCGCAGCCTAATGTCAGAAGGTAGAGTCATGAATATCAAGGCGGGTACTAGAGTATGGGCGCGCGGGACCTTTGCTGGGTGCTCCCAGAAGGTTGATCGCTCCACCGTCTTGGCCATCGTCGACTTGCTGAATGTTTCGAGTGTCACCGCCACATCCTTGAGTGCCCGTGCACGCAGTTCTTCCGCATTGGATGCATTCGAAGTGTAGTAGTGCCAAAACTTGGCTCGAAGCTGGTCGTTTAGGACGTCGCATTGGCTGTTGAGCCAACGCGTCGTCTCGATCCTTAGCTTTTCAAGCTCCTCCTCAATGTTGTCTTCACCCGTCGAGTGTGCGTCCTCGAGCAAGTAGCCATACTTGACCCAGGAAAGCAGTGCGTCCACGAAGCCCGGACCCTGCCACACGCGCATCGCGCAATCGGCGCCGGTGTCGTCCGGGGGGCACCAGTGCACCGGCTCAATATTGCCCTCCTCCGTCGCCGCCTTCCGGAGCTCGTCGGCGTCCTCGAGGTACTTTGGAGAGACCACGTCGACGGCAGAGCCGCCCAAGCTCCCCAAGTTTGCGAGCACCTAGGTTCGCAAACAAACCTTGTGGGCGCTTGTTCACACAGGGCCTGGCCAAGCGGGGCGGACCGCGGCCTTGTCACTGCCGTGTGGCTTGTGCACAGGCACCAGTTGGACAGATCGAAAGAGCCGATCGAGCAGCCATTGTCCCTTTGGCGCATCCGAGCTGCTTCGCAGATTCCATAGCAGGTCGTCGACGGACATCGCGGAATTGGTCAGGTGATGATAATTAAAGTTTTGCACAGACCACAGCAATCGCGGTCTGTGGCGATTGATGTTGAGGCTGCCCTTGGCTCGCAACGCCTGCATGAGCTCCTCGCAGTGCGCCGCGTGCCTGCCGTGACGGAGGAGCCGCTATGAAAAGGGGAGCGAGATCGCTCTCTAAAGGCAGGGGGAGCGCTGCGAAGGCTACGCAGACCCTTCGAGTTGCTTCACGGCGTTCGCGTCGATCGGATACATCGTATTGTAGATTACGACCGAGGAGAGCATGTACGTAATGCCTACCGAGCATCGCTTAGAGGTGACTGCCGGCGCAACAGAGCCGAGCACCGTCCGGATTGGACCGAAGAGATTGGCTTCGTACGTCCGGCTTGTGAAGGAGCCGATGCCCCCAAAGCCCTCGGTATCAATGATGAAGATGTTGAGCTCGCCGACACGCATGGGCTCGCGCGTCATCCAAATGCCAGTCGTGTGCGAGACGACCCCATCACCCACGTCGAAAATGGAGCCCTTTCCCGAGCGGCCACGAATGAAAGCGTGGTCGAGTATCGAGCTCTTTCCTGTGCGAGTAGGCCCAGCAGCTGCGACAATAGCAAATGGCGCAGTCTGCGCTCGCAAGACGTCGAGGCCTTCCTCCACAATTTCCAGCCGACCAGTCGATATCTGAGGCTTGCGAAAGAGCTGAACCACTTGAGGCTGCTGCGGCCGCTCGGGAAACGCGACGACGAACGCGACGAGCGGCGCGAGCATTCTTTTGTGCGCCGCGCCGCGCAGGTGCGTTCTCCCACCCACCAAACAACTTCGTGTTCCACATCTACACATCTATTTAATCAGATTTAATACGTTGTCCCGGGACCCCACAGACACCCCAGAGCAGAGCAGTGTTGAGTGTGCATGCCGCCCCGTCGGCTGCCCTCGGCTGCCATCGACATACACACAAGCAAGACACAACGCGACCCAGGCCGCCTCTGTAAGGTGCCTATATGGGCTTCCAGTATCGGACCTTCAAGACATGCGCTTTTGGCCGGTAGCCTCCTCGGACATGGTACCTCCGGTGAGATCGTGGCTGCCAGTTCGAGACTGGGGCCGATCGAACTTGATTTGTTCGGAGGAGGAATCCGGCCAGCACGGGTACAAAGAGGGGTACCCGGCCGGAGAATCCCCAGCTGCGGAAACGTAGTGTCGCTCAAGAGGTGCGATACTGCGGGGGAGTGTAAGGTGCCTATATGGGCTTCCAGTATCGGACCTTCAAGACATGCGCTTTTGGCCGGTAGCCTCCTCGGACAGCCTCGTTCCACGTTCCCCGGCCGGCGGAGGCCCGTCCGTCCGTCCGGCCTGGGGCTGGGCCCTCCTCTTCAGCTGCGACCGCTGTGCGACCGCGGATCGTAGCAAGACAATGAGAAGGGTGGAGGTAAAAGGTAATAAACTTCCTCCACACCCTTTGTGTGGTGGGGCAAATGGGGGCAACCCTCGCAGGGCAAACTCGCCCCACCCTCGTCACCTTTCACGACCCCAACCCATGAGACAGGCAGGAGGCAGCCCCACGGCATTCAATGTGTAAAACAAGATGGACCGCCAACTGAGACACCCGGGGCGGGCGGGGTCACCGTCCCTCGACACCGTCCCCTGGCCGTGACGCGTGCTATAACGATTATCCGGATTAACGTACTGTTGTGAGGCAAGCGAGGGGGAGACAGGAGACACCGCATACGCGCGGTCGCGGTGAGAGCAAACCATTGGCGTCCGTCAGGGGCAGATGATATGCGCATCTTGAGATAAAATGCATCTTAAGATGCCCCCTACTCAGATATGCACAGCATGCACCGGATGCACGCTGTCTCCGCTTACTCGAGCACATAATCATACCACCATATCTAAAAAAAGCCGTTCGAGCGGATTGGTTTTATCAACTTAAGATGCCGGAGCATCTCCTGGGATGAGCTCGAATCATCTGAACCAGATGCTTCGGAGCTTCGCATCCCACAAGTATTCGCTCTCTGGGACAGGAAACTGTCAGTGATGTATTGAACACGGCAGGGGAACAGTCGGTTTCGACAGGTCATGGCATTTCATCCACGCGTCGGATCGGTAGGCTCTGGCACCAACCCCACCACGGCCACGGGGGTTGGCACGTGCGCCTGCCAGCGCCGCTCCTCGTCGCCTGGCGCCCATTCGTAGTTGCCCGCCGAGGCCCAGCTGGCCGGCTGCTCAGGAGTCTCGAGGAGAGCTCTTGGGAGCCCGAGAGCGCCGCCGCAGCCCCAGCTCAGCAGTCGGCCGTCCTCGAGCACGCACATGCTGTGCGCCTCACCAGCGGTGACGGCGGCCACGCGGAGCCCTTCAAGCGCGCGTATGCGCGTCGGCACCCAGTGCATGCGGCCGCCGTCGTCGTGTCCGAGCTTGCCGCCGTCGCCGTCGCCGAAGGAGAATAGCGCGCCGCCGTCGGCCAAGGCGAGGCTATGCCGGCTGCTCGCGGCGACGGCGGCGATGCGCACACCGCAGAGCGCGGCGACTGGCCGCGGCAGCGGCTGCGGGTCGACAGCGCGGTGGCCTAGCCAGCCTCCCGCGTAGCCGCTCGTCCGCTCTCGCGCCTCGCCTGCGCCCCACGAGTAGAGCTGCCCCGCGTGGTCGACAGCGAGGGAGTGGTGCTCCCCTCCCGCCAGCCGCACGATGCGCCTGCCCAGGAGCGCCGCGACTGGCCGCGGCGTGTGCTCGTCCTCGCGCGTGCCGTGGCCAAGCTGCCAATCCGAGCCGCACCTGACACGTGCCGTGACTATGCTATGAGTGCATGCGCTCATGGCCGATGGCCTCTCACAAGCTGTGGGTGCATGGTGTGGGTGCATGACCAATGGTGGTCTCTCTCTCTCTCTCACCCAAAGCTGTGGACGGCCCCGCCCTCGTCCGCCGCGAGGCTGTGCAGCGCTCCCGCCTCGAGGACGGCGACGCGGACCTGCGCGAGCGCGCCGATGCGTTGAGGGAGGGCGTGACTGCGCTGGTCACCAAGTCCAAGCTTGCCGCTGAAGCCGGAGCCGAACGCGTAGGACGCGCCGGCGGCGGTGAGGACGAGGCTATGCTGCTGCCCCGCAGAAACATCAACGGCGCGCTCGCCCAGCAGCGCAGTGATGAGACGAGGCCGCCACAGGGTCGCCGCATCGCCGTGGCCGAGCTGCCCCGCCTCGCCAAATCCAAAGCTGAAGCAGTGCCCCGACTTGGTGAGCGCGAGTGTGTGCAGCGAGTGGGTTGCGACGGCGACGATTTCTTGGCGCTCGCTTGCGGGAGCTGGCACCGGCACGCGCGTCGGTGGCACGCGCGAGTGATGGTGGCCGATGCCTAGGAAACCACGCTGGTTCTCGTCGATTCCCCATGTGGTGAGCCCGCCGCCGATGCATGCTGCGGAGTGTAACGCCCCAGCGGCAATGGTGCGTGCAGCGCTCGAGTGCAACAGCCGCCACAGCTGCACGCGAAAGCCACCGTCTGTCGGAAGCTTTGCCAGCGCGGCGCGAGCGTGCAGCACGTCCTCTGCGGCGTTGCGCAGATCTCGGCAGACACACGCGGACCGAGACAGCGTCTTGAGCTCGACGGGCAGCAGCAAGAGGCGCTTGATCTCGCAAGGCAGGCATGCGAACGTCGCAGGGTCGGGCGCAGGGTCGGGCGCAGGGACCGGCGACATTGCGCTGTTTTCTTTTTGTGAAGGGTTCTCAAGAGAGCCATCGATTCTACCTCTCATCGAAAACCTTCCTCCAAGCTCTTAGTGATCGTGACCAAGCTCTTAGTGATCGTGACCCAAGCTCTTAGTGATCGTGACCCAAGCTCTTAGTGACCACGTTAGGATCGCTCCTCATCGCAAACCCTGTCAGCAGTTCACCCTCAGGTACTAATAGTGTAGTAGGGTGAGAAATATGAAAAACGCCGGAATTCGGACGAGTACTCTCGCCTTTACAAATTCGATAAGCGGGACAGGATGCGTCCAGGTGGCACGTCCTGGAGTTTGAGGCGCTCCGACTCCTCGGTGACCAAACGACGAGCTGGAGAGCTGGCGACCGAACGCGACCTGAGCGGGGCTGGCGGCGATGGACGACCGAGCGGAGACGCAGCGAATCGAGGAGCGCCTTCCGCAGGGAACCGATGAGCGGCTTGCGAGACCTTGGCTGTCGACGCGAGGAGCGATTACGCCGGTGGCAATACTGCAGCCGCTGTCCTCTCCGGTCGGCGACGTGGTGATGTACACGAGTTCGGTGGCGGGACACAACCTGCGGTTGTCGTTGGGGAGTTCGGTGGCGGAGGCGCGATCACACAAGACGAGCGCAGGGTCGACGTCGGGCCGACGCGAGCAAACAAGTCGAGGCGGATGGATCGGCGCCTCACCCACTGGCAGTGCATCTACTGCCGCGACGCCGCATTCCTTGTTGGCGGCGCAACCCTCTGGCTTTCGGCTGGCACTGGCGTGCGTCGCCCTCGTCCACCGGCAGCAGGGCGGCACCACCAAAGGCGGAGCCGGAGGGAGGTGGCGAGGCGGATGCACTCGCGGCCCGGCGCCGGATGCTGATACGCCAGACGAGCTCAAACCTGTCCACTGTCATGCAAGCCTCATCGCGAGAGCTGATGGCTTGAGAGTGTGACCGTGTGGTGAGCGGAGAATTTTGCTCGAGTACATGGTATCGAGTGAGGACCTGTCGCGCGGGCTCGACCCTCGGGTGCGCAAGTGTCGTCCGTGTTTTTACTGTATTATTGGCCTCACGGCGCGGTGCCGGTCACGGCCCGCCACCAGCTGCACTAACCCCGACCCCGAAGCGCTCCGCGCCGCTGCCAACGTGCAGCATGCCAACGTCGTCGAGCAGTGCGTCGCGCTCCTGTTCACAGTTACAAGATTGTGGGCCGAGGACGTCGCGTCAGCAGGAGCTCTCGCGCTCCCTCCTCCGCCGAGGCGTAGCGCGCCGCTCGCCATCCCGTCAGCGCCGCGGCGGGCCGGTAGCCCGGCTTGAAAGTGCCCGCGGGACGGCGGCAGAGGACGGTCGAGCACCGCTCCTTGCAGCGGCGGCCCTTTGCGTCGACGTCGACCATTTCGGAGCGCAGCCGCTGCAGAAAGGCGGTGAGCGCGCCGGCCTCGCCCTGCATCACGAGCATCACGCCACTCACCCTCCGCCCCGCATCGCTGTACAGAAGCAAGCCCGCACACACGAGCTCCGACGCCCAGCGCTCCAGGGTGCGCATGTAGGCAGGCGCGTCGTTCATGTGGTCGATCACGATCACGATCTCCTCCCGCATCGGGCAATCTCGGACAATCTCGCCCGGGGGCGCCTCCTTGGCGGCGAGAGCGCCTGCCGCCGCAGCTCGGCGGAGCTAAATCATGGCAAAATCTCGACAAAATCTCGGCGAAATCTGGGCGCCTGCCGCAACGAGCTCGAGGAAGGTTTGCACGAGGCCGGTGCAGCACTCCTCTCCTGCAGCGGTGAGGGGGGCGGGGGCGTGCACGACCGCTCTGCAAGAAGGCCTCTCGAGAGTCCGCTGTCGTGGCCGGAATGTGTGTGACTGCCTCTCTCTCTCGTCTCCACGAATGGGATCTAAGCCTCCTGCCCGCCGCTTTGCTGACAGCCGCCTCGAGCGTGCGCGAAGCCGCCGCAACCGGCTCGGGACCTACCGAAGTGCATCCGAGAATAGGCAGCGCGCAGACTCGTCTGGACAAGAGGCGCGATGCTCATCGTCTTGGCGATGATATAATCGAGATCTGGCCGAGGTCTCGGCGATGTCTCAGCTATCCGTGACCAGCAGACGGGCAGGAGAGGGAGAGGAGAGGGAGCTTCAGCGGGTAGCGCTGCGGCAGGCTGACCCGCAGCGCAGCGCCGCCCGAGCGCACCAGGAAGGCACTGGCGGCGGCCGTATGAGCCACCTCCTCCTCAGCAAGCTCCTCTGGAAACATGGCGGCGAGAACAGCGAGCCTGAAGCAAGGCGATCCTGATTGTCGGCAAATGCTCGCAGCCAGTGTTGATGAAACGCGAGTTGCGCAGGGGTTGAAGGCTCCTCTGCATACTCTGAAAGCATCTGGCGATGCCAGCTCGTCACGCTGCCTCTCGGCGCAGCTCTCGAGTTCGTCCATGGGCACGAGAGAACACAACCGCTCGCCGTGTCCGCCTCGAGCTCGCGCCTGCGCAGACGCCGCACACACGCCCGCGCCCGTCGGGTTTTTTCCTCTTTTCGCTGCTGGAATTTTGTAGAAAAAGAATTTTTCCGCGGAAATCACGATGTCAACCCTCCCCAAGTGAGGTGATCTGGTGCTTGTAGGGCTTGAGAGTGGCCTGCCATGTCACAGGAAGGACTGTGGTTGCAGAAGAGTACCACCAGCATCACTCTAGTTGGTATAGTACCCCACCCACCTGTCCGAACCCAGCAAGGGCAACCAGCGCAAAAAAACGAAAACTCATGGGCTGGGGGTCTGTGAAGGTCGGCTCAGCACTACACTCTACACGCGCTCCGGCGCGTGGGGGTCTCGAGGTGGGGGTCGAGACTAGACTACAGTACCACGCCCGGCAGCCCTAGCCAGGCCCCGCGTGCTGGCCGCGACCGCGACCGCGGCGGCTCTCACTCGAGCCCGAACTCTGCCCATCAGTACAGACGTGCGTGCCGGAACCGCGTCGCGACTAGCACCTCAAAGTCCCCAGAAACCCCTATGCCTGTTGTGCTCTGTATGTTGCCACGCCCGCGAGGGGGCGGGGTGCGCACTGTGCCTCTGTCTTTCGTGCGTCGCCCATCTCTCATGCGTCATTCATGGAGAAAGAGATTCAAAGTGGCGGCGCGTCGCAAGCTCCCGCCCGCCGTCCCGGCGGTCCCGCAGCTCGCGCGCATCTCCCTCTTGCCTCTTAACCCACCTCTAACATCTCTCTAAGGAATTCCCCATCGTGCAGCAAACGACGCCGACCCGTCCTCGAAGTCGCACACAAACCCTCCCATCGGCACCAACCAGGCCGTTGGCAACCATCGCCAGGTAGAGCACCACCAGCTTCGGTGGGATGGCAATATCGGCTTCCCTCCGCTCCCATCCAACGGCAAATTGTGCCGCCAGCCGCACGACGAATAGAAGCACTGCACAAACGTGGCAAATGTGGCCAGCCACGACACGAATTGGTGGCAGTTCGGCACGGCCTTCGCCGAGATGGCCATCATGCCCTGCTTCAGCGCCACGTCATTCACCAGCCCCGCGTGCGCGTCCGTCACCGTGAGTGCGTCGGCGCCGTCCTTCTGGTTCATCTGGACTGCCGACGCCGCCACCTTCTCCAGGCCATCCACAACCTGCGCGGCAGTGCCCGCGCCGGTCTGGGCCTTCCGCTGCTCGCGCCGCTGCACCATCTGTGCCCATCTTTGCCCCCGCGTCGAGAATTGAAGATGCTCGCGACCATGGCGGAGGAGGCCTTCACCGGCGCTCCCGCGACCTCGTTAGTTCGCCCTGATGGCCGCCTCGTCGAAGGCTCCCTGCTCCTTCGCGGCCTGCTGCGCCCGCACCACCTCCATCGCGTTCACCGTCTGCGAGTTGAGCTTCGCCACCTTCGCCTTCCTCTCCCGCTCCGCCGCCGCCTCCCGGTCCTCGCGGCGGTCCGCCAGTGGTTGTCGCCGGCGTCGTCAGCCACGATCATGGCCGTGACGGCCTCGCCCGCCATATGTCGCTTCTCGGCCTGTCGATCGCGCGTCCCAAAAGTCGCCAAAAGTGGCGGCGCCGCAATCGCCCGCCCGCTTTCCTAGCGTCGTCCCGGCGCGGTCCCGCAGCTCGCGCACATCTCCCTCTTAACCCACCTCTAACATCACAATAGTGAATTCCTACCTGCTCTATTTATTTATATGGTCGGCCCGATGGCAGATTTTGTATACCGAGGCGGTGCCGCCCGGTGCCGAACCTGTCGGACCTTGAGTCAGCGTTGTAGATCCCTGGGCGAGGGCGGTGGCGTCCCCGTCGGGAGGCGGCTGCCCGCAGTGCGGTGGTCTACCGTCAAACAAGCTGCAATGCGCCTCGGAGATCCCCCAGCGGCACTCAGTGAGCAGGGTCGAGGCAGGCACACGCTCGAGTCGGTCGGGGTGGCACGAAGTTTCGTTCGTTCGTGTTTTTTTGCCCGCCACCTCCACACACACGCACGGGCGACCGACAGAAGCAAGCACTTTCGCCGCCGCGTGACCACCGTTTGTTCATTCATGATCTCTCTGTCAATGCGGGCTTTAAACTAGTTTCTGGGTAGATTTTCGGGTGCGGGTGATTTTCAGATTGAAGTGAACAGATCACTAAAGGGAGGTTTCGCCGGGATCTCCTGAGCACAGGTGTGGACAACGCGGCAAAACAACGGAACTTCTTGATTTGCCAACAACATACCTAAAACTAGGCCCGAGCAACTCACGCACGTCCCGACCTACACGCGGCGAGTCCCGATATATTCCTGTGCCTCGGCGTGGCCCGGCGCCAGCCGGCCAAGGGCAAGCGGGTCGATCGTCAAGAAGTCGGTCGGCGCAGAAGCGCCGCCGCCAGCGCCGCCACATGACAACGTCTCCGACGTCGTGCGTTGCAGCTGCCACGGTCCTACCCGAACTATGTCTGGATCACAACATCTGCCATGAAGCTGCCATCTATCTTGGTCATGCGCTTACAATTGACGTGTGCGTCGAGAATCGGGCCTTCACGGCTGAGGACTATTCAGAGCGAATCACATCAGGAGAGGTGATGGTCCCTGTTCACGCTGCGTTTGTGGCCAATTCTTCAATTAGCGTTTATATTCAGGCTCCATCTGGCACACGACAGGGGGGCCAAGCGATCAAATTCAACAGCTACTCGCCGTCTCCCCTAGCCCCCGAGTCGACCTTCGAGATACTTCCGGAAGACGAATGCCCGGATGAAAGCTCGGAGTGCGGTGCGCTTCTCCTAAACGGACTCGTCAACCTCGCACCGGAGCGAGATCTGACATGCTTGGGCACCATTCACGCAACGGCTTTGGCGTATCCTGCAGATGTATTCGATGATCCAGCTTCAAACGGCTTTTTCTACGTGTCAGCCTATTCTGGTGTAGATGACCTACTGATAACAGACGACCGCTGCTTTCCGGAAATTACCGGAGGTGGTCAGGGCTCGACTGTGGGTGTAATCGTGCTGCAACCGCCGCCTTCATCGCCTCCGCCGTCTTTGCCACCATCATCCCCACCACCAGCTGGGCCACCTCCACAGCCACTGCGACCGCCACCACCCTCGCCCGGGTCCCCAGAACCCTCTCCGCCACCGCCACCCTCTCCGCTGAGTCCAGAGCCGTCTCCACCCCCTCCCTCCCCTCCATTGCTTCCTGAGCCTCAGCCGCCTCCACCCCCACACCCGTTGAGCCCAGACCCATCGCCGCCGCTGCCAATTAGCCCGCCGCCCTCTCCTGCTCCCGCACCGCCGCCGTCGCCACATCCATCGCCACCAACACCGCCACTGCTGCCACCGCCATCGAAAGCGCCTCTACCACCGCCTCCGCCATCCCCCTCGTCGCCACTGCCCTTCCCACCGCCACCACCAGAGCGCCCGAGCCCATCACCGCCGCCCTCCCCTGGGCGGCCGCCGCCACAACTGCCTCCCTCGCCTCCGCCGCCGCCACCGCCCTCCCCACCGCCCCCGCCGCGCCCGAGGCATCCCGAGCCCTCCCCACCGCCGCCACCATTGCCAGATCGGCCCGAGCCGTCACCACCAGACCTGCCCTCGCCGCCACCCTCTCCACTGCCGCCCTCCCTGCCTCCACCACCGCCGCCGCCACAACTGCCTCCCTCTGCACCGCCGCCCTCGTCGCCACTGCCCTCCCCACCGCCCTCACCAGAGCACCCAGAGCCCTCCCCGCCGCCACCACCCTCTCCACTGAGCCCAGAGCCTTCGCCGCCGCCCCCGCCGCCGCCCAGGTTGCCGCCGCCGCCATCCTCTCCGCCGCCCGGACCACCGCCGCCGTCTCCTCCGCCTCCCGCGCGACCGCCGCCCTCCACTTCGCCCTCGCCGCCGCCTCCCACGCCGCCCCCGCCCTCCACCTCGCCCACGCCG